CCCTGGGTCCTGCAGACCCTTAGCCGGGCTGGGGGTGGCCATGTGGGAGGTCTGCACGGCCTCCTCGGCCATGGTGTGGCGCTCCGGCCACTGAAATCGAGGGCTCTCACTACTGAGGCCACAGGGCCCCGCGTCACCCTCACACCCCTCCCTGCTAGACTGTGAGCTTATTCGCTCCCCGGTTAAGGATGAGACCGCTGGGAGCTCAGGAGGCAGCGCTGGGATCTGAACCCAGCAGGTGCCTGCCCTCTGCGTGTTCATCCGTTGCACACATGGCCCCTCCACTAGGAAGCTCCCCACACCTGCACACACAGGCATGCACACACATGCAGAGACACTCACATACCACACACGGGCAGCACGTGTACCCCCCCACACCTGCATGCACACAGGTGCACACGCAGAGACACATATCACACAAGGCGTGCACATGTATACGCCACGCATGTGCTCCCACACCTGCGTGCACACAGAGGAAACGCCATCATGTGCTAAGATTGTGTGTCCTGATGTTTAGAGAAACGAGGTGTTGCTGGGAAGGGCCGTGCGAGGAGCCCAGGCAGGTCCCGCGGAGCCGGGCACAGGGACCCCGGTGCCTGCAGGTGCCTGGGCCGGGCCTTCCCAGCATCACTTGGAATCAGACTCCACACGCAGCTGCTTCCCATCTGTCTCCAGCCTCTCAGAGCCCCCCCACCCCCCACCCCAGGCCCAGCAGGCAGCCCACAGCCCTGCCAGCAGCCAGTCTGACTCTGGCTGGTGGGGCCGGATTCCTGCCGGGTCCAGGTCCGGGTCCGGGTCCAGATCCGGGTCCAGGTCCAGGTCCGGGTCTGGGTCCAGATCCGGGTCCGAGTCCGGGTCCGGGTCCGGGTCTGGGTCCGGTTCTGGGTCTGGGTCCAGGTCCGGTTCTGGGTCCGGGTCCAGGTCTAGGTCTAGGTCCAGGTCCGGGTCCGGGTCTCAGTTTGGGTCCAGCTCCGGTCCGGGTCTAGGTTGGACCCACCCTCAAGAGACTTTAGACCTGAAGGAAGCAGAGCCCAC